TAACAGAGATAAATGTTTCCTATGTTAGGGAATCACTAAAGTACCACAGTACAATAGTAAGTAATTGCTTAGGGTATGGTGGATATTTACACTTTACTGGGGAACTGAGTCAGAAATAAATGGCAGTAAGTAGAAATGTTATTAGCAGTGTGACGTGTGACACAAGTGCTTTGTCCTCGTCTGAGTGAATGATCGTCGTCGGTGGTGAATGTTGTGTGCGTGTGCAGTAAAGTTGATCATGAAAGTATTCTCCTGTCTTCGTAAGACAAATGGCTGCCGGGAGATGCGATGACGTCACGTCGCTCGTTGCCGGTTGCCGGTCCGAAGTCTCACTTACACTTAAACAGCTCGCAACGTCTTCTTAGCTACATTTCTGCTCTCTGAATCTCCTCTCTGAATCCTTAAATCCTGAGTTATCCATAAAAACATGATTAATACAAATTGAACGTTTTATTTTATTTCTTTATTTAACTAACTAAATTTAAACATTCTTGATACATAACCAGAACCGTCTGCACATCAAGCGACTTGAAACAGTTCCATCTAAAGGAAGCTTTTATAACACATGGAAAATACCAATCAACTATCCATCATAAGAAATTCTAATAAAGAAAAACCAATTGGTAATGGAAATGATTAACGATATACGAAGTAATATAGACCTAGTATTTTTATTTATTTCTAGTCATATACTCACTTATTTTAAGCGAGTAAATGACTAGAAAGAAATTAAAGACCTATAAATTAAGATAGTATTCGCCATTACCTAATTAATTAATTGAAAAAGAAAACTATATTAAATCTGAATAATTCAATACGTAATATGTATAATAACCATTTAAATAATTGAAGACTACGAAACTTAATTAATATCACATACCACAAGCATTATTAATAAAATTCAAACATACTTCTCTCCTCTTCATCCCCTGTTTTTATCGAAAATCCTTAGATTTTATGCTAAAAAATGCTTTTATGCCATTTATGGTATAATAGAAATGAATGGGCATTCAATTGACACGTCCTTATACGAATAGCTTTAAGTGCAACTGAAATTCAAATTGGTTTTTCCCTCAGTTTCACTCGTGTAAATTTATTTTTTTCAACTTGCGAAGAGTAGTTTTTTCTGTATTAAAAGAACCATTTGTTCTTTTCTCTACCCCTAGCAAAGTGTATTCAAAATGTAACAATAATCCGTAAATCGTAACAAACAAACAAACTTACTTTCATATTTACATTATTAAGTACTAGTAGTAGTCATTATTAAGTACAAGTACAATATTATGTTCAGGATTTTATTGATTCTCGGTATGAAATTAATATTACGAATGACATGGGTGTTGTAGGGCTACCTTACCTTCTCACCCTGCTCAAGCTATTATTATACTAAATATAATCAATAGCAACTTAATGTGACGTTTAAGAACCAATTACTTTTCAACAAATGGCAAGGGTAAAAATATTCGTTCTTTGAATTCCGATAACTTTTCACCGATTTATACTCGAGTACTATAGCGAATAAAATAGGTACCTAAGAAGTGGCTTTCTCAATCTAAACTCGTATAAGGTCGTCCATGTCGCCGGGTGATTTACCGTACACTCGACCAGCGCATTCGCCTTATTGAATACTATGTTCCATGAAAGAAAAATCGTATATTTTGACGCGACGCAAGCAAAATTTACGACTTTCATTTATTCACCGTAATAAATGACAATTAAAAGTGGTTGGTATTTTGAACGTTTTGCGAATCATGACGTTTATACTTCTAAGTTTAATCTGTCTGTCTGTTTTTCAAAGTTATAAGCGATGCGATTTTTTATTGAGATGTATATTTAACTTTTTTATTCTTATGTTCAATTTATAATTAAAAAATAAAGTCTATTAATATGTGTTTAAATAAACGATTAAATTACAATAAACCCATAAAAATATTTGGAATTAAGATATTAATTATAATAATAAGATTAATTCGTGTTCAATAAATTTCTAGAACAAACATACAGAATACAATAATATAACCCAATGCGTTTTAAATTATTAATTAAATACTAGAGGGCTCTCTCTTCTTGAAATACTATGATAAAATACTTTTTAATAAAACTATCGGTTTTGTTACAAAAATCATTTTCCATTCCATAAACATAATCAACCAAATAAAACTACTATGTCAAAAAAACCGAGCTGCGAACTTGAAGCAAATAATTTCAATGAATGATCTCAAGTTTTTACGCAGAAATGAAAATAAAATCAAGGGAAAAAATCGCAACATTTTTGCCGATGTTGCACCTTTACAACATTACCAAGCTACCAAGTACTTTTGCGGCAATCTATGGAATTCACAATTCGGGGAAACATAAAAGCATCTATAATCATAATAAAAACAAATTACACGTTTCAATGCCGGTAGCCTGAGGCAATCTCATCGCGTTGGCAGTAAGACCAACAAGAACAAATTGAAAAATACAAGCAGCTCATTAATAGGCACGGTGCTGTTGTTAAATAAATGAAATTCTGGCGATAAATGAGGCAAAGGGGTACTTTATAGGTCAATTAGTCTGAGAATACGGTATGCGTTCATTAGCTGTTGTACAACGACGATTAGGTACGGAGACTGAAGGTAATAATGCAGCTGAACATGGGCATTGTGGTAGGTGTGCAGACCACTCCTTTGCATTTAAGTCGGCCGCCGCGATAATCGCTAATCGCTCTTATACATGTGTGTACATGACACTTCATTATATACCATTATTGCACACATTAAGCTTTATGTTTCTTGGTGATAAGACTCTTATTATGAAATTATACAGCAAAGAAATATTGTTCTTAAAATAAACAGAATTCAAGATAATTGAAATTCATTAAAATTGTAATATTTGTTGTTTGCTTCAATCTATGTATATTCGTAAATCACTATTATTCAATTAGATAGGAAATATAGATAAAGTCGGTAACTGCTGTCTTGGTTAAAAACTTGTTAGTACTCGTACAACAATGTGTTTTAGTAATTATAAGTAATTAATTTTAGTACTAATAAGACTACCATTGCCAAAAACAATACCATGTTATAATTTATATTAAAGTAAGAGTTCAATCATTTAAAATGCTTCAATTTTAGATTTATGACACACATCTCCATACATTATTACAAAATCTTTATATATATTTAAAAGTTGAGAAATGCAAAAAAAAAAGACAAATCTGGAGCCTGTGTAATCAGCCTTTTACCTGTTTTTTATATCTTAAAGGTCAATAAAGGTTTCGTTATTGTATAGTAAAATTAACAAAAGAATTCAAGACTTCAAAATTCAATTTGCTTATCTACTCCAAATTGTATTAAAGATTGCTAAAAAAATGATTGTACTGCAAAACAACATAGCTTAAAATTACAAAAATATATCAGCTTTAATGATCTAAAAACATATTAAAATACTTTTGTATGTCTCCCCTGTGTGGTATTTAACCGTTCCAAATACACGACCTGCCGATTGGAGTAAGGACGTAATAAAAATTTCTTAGTAAACAGGATGGTACTTAATACCAAGCAGAGAGGGAACTTTAATTAAGGCCGGACCTTTTTTTACTGTGATACGAGCTTGCGAATAAAAGAATAAATTGTGAGTAATATTATGATAGTGTAAGTGAACTAAGCTTTATTAGTAAGAGGCTATGATATGTTGTATTAACGTATAGAGAGCTTCTGGATGTGTCTCGGTGCGCAACAGCAATTGGACCAATAGCTCATTACTTATAAGGAATACTTACATTGCCTTTGCGCTCGTAATGAGATAATACGCATCAGCCGCCCGAATGCTTACACTAACCCAACTGCCATACAAAAATACTCTGAGATTACGAGCGGACCCAAAATGAAAGTAATCTTCCAACAATCACGGCCGAACTAGGTCTACTGTTGCAGGACCGCTTATCTACTAACCCTACTCGTTACTTGTAATGGAAATCGAATTACTATTTAAGTAAGATAAACGGTAAACGTGCCGTTGGAGCTACCATCGACCATTCCAACTTCAGTAGTTATAAACGGAAGCTTTAAACTTAGAACCAATAAACAATGTAGAATAATGCCGGAATGATCTGTACGCCGAGCGCAAGTACACGATTTTTAATTTTCAATAAATAGGTGATGGCTTGTCTTAACCATGTAAAGAGATTTATATAATAATACACTGCGACTACCCTATCGAAAACAAGCAAACAATCAAACTAATGTTTTTCTTAACTATCATATTAACCCCTATGCTATTCAGTGTGACGCCTAGTCTTAATAGAATAGTCACTTATTTTATACTTATATGGCTTCATAATACTATTTTCATTCAAATGTTCAATAGTTCAAATATGTTTGAGAAAAAACACCAAATAGTATATCTTATTAAAGCGACCCTGGAGGTTTGAGAATTGAATTACTGTGTGTCTGTTAGCCGTAAATTTGATACTTTTTTCAAATATTCTTTTTATGACCAATTTATATAGAACTCCCGCCAGCGTCCTCGAGAAGGACAGGTTATGATATTTTATGCTGTCACTGTGCGGCGAATCACGAAAATTTGGCTTTATTAAAAATTAAAAAAGACGTGACGGTACTACCAGCCGCCTATATTCATACGTTATTATATTTAGTTATGTGATTTACGATGAAAGTGGATATTTTCTTTGTAAATCGCACTCGATTCTCCAGATATCGAGTCTACATGGGTATGATAGGTATTATCTGTTTTAATGTAGCTATGATTAAGTTCTTATGATGAGTACCCCTTTTTATGTTTCGAAACTTACTGAAATTGTTTTTAAAACCATATCATATCAGGATCATATTACTCAAACACAAAAAATATTTCTTTATGACAAACACTGAGACAATAAAAGGAGGAAAGACTGGGTAATAAATAATATGGCACACATTGATCAATAAATAAGCTATCCTTTGACGAAGTAATGCGAATGCATACATACATATATAATGTCGTATGTTTTGTTGCAGCGTCGCGTATTCGATACGAGATCACGAGCGGGAACATAGGCGGCGCGTTCGCCGTCAAGAACATGACAGGCGCCATCTACGTGGCGGGCGCGCTTGACTACGAGACTCGGAAACGGGTAAGATTCATTCAATATTTTCCATTTTAATCTAGAACTATTAGTCTAGTAGATTACCTCTATGTATAATGAAAGATATACCTTCCAATTATTTATCTGTCCATACATAATACACGTACGTCTTTCATTTATTAATATTAATGACAGTATTAATCAGTAGTTATTAGAGGCCCAGGCTATAGGCTCTATGTTTATACATACGTATAGTATATTATGTGTGTATATATATATATATATATATATATACATATAAATATACTATTATGGTTTTATTGCAGACAATGTCTAGTGATATATTCTATTTAGGCCGTTTGTCGATTTCTCTTTGAGGGCGGAAGCGAATTTATTACATATATTGCTAACTTGTCCTTACCCAATTTATCTTACTCTTAGACTTGTTGATTGTCAGGTCGGAAACAGTAGTCATAGACAAAGTGTGGATAGGATTAGAGAAGTACAGACAACAACAAAAACTGCTAAACACTCGGAAATTTAAATGTCCTATCTTAAATAAAAATATTAAATTCTTAATATATTATGTATTGTATAAGTGTATTATTTTTATTAAAAACTTGATAAGTTATTAGATTCCAGATATTTACCATGTTTTATTTTCGAGAATCAGTTTCCGATAGTTCGGCTTGGGCAAACACCATGATCACGGATGACAACCGTTCATCCGTGATCATAACTTATCAAATGAAAATCACCATGCTTAAAAAATCTCTAAATGTATATTTTAAGGAGAGATTTCTGCCCTTGGAACCGCCAAACTTGTCACCTTAAAGATTACCACAATCCGACTTGACTTCCGGTTGATTTTTAAGACGGAATAGGAATAGTATCAATAAAGTTACTAGAACTTAAGAAAGGGTGTAATTTTATGATATGAATTTCATAAAAAATCATAAAAATCTAAATAAATAATAACAAATCTATCTCTATAATCTCAAAACTAATAATGGTCATTGTTCTCCAATATAAATGTGAACGAGACAAAGATAAAATAGATTGTAAAATATAACCAAGATTAATGAAAATTATAAAGGATGATAATAAAGCTATACATAAAATAATGTGGGTAGTTAAAAACAATCGCTTGATGACAGTGATAGGTCGCTCTCGGGAGGGACGGTAGGCGGCAATAAAGTATAAAACATCTAAATCGATACGTTTTTTTTAAACTGGGAATCTAGATATTTTCATTTTCTAGCCTTGGCCTCAGATATACATATATTGTCATTACATTGTTAAAGTATTACTATGTACTAAATACCAAATACTAATAACGAGTTTTCCACAACAACAAAAAAATAAACAATCCAATCACTAATATAGGTATGTTAAGATACAAACTTACAACGCTAATTCATTAACGATATCGTAATAATAAACTTATTACTGTATTATATAAGTTGCCATGAACTTGAAGAGGATCCAAGTTTACCATGTACAATTACATCACGTCAACAAAATCCTAAATTAAACAACCGAGGATAACAAAGTAAGCCAACGTAATTAAAGATAAACCACGTGTACAAACAAGCAGGTATTATATAAATATATGTATGTTAAATTCGCGGTCGTAAGTATTCAGGTTGCGACATCAAAAGCAGGTAAATGTGACATATAACAAGAAAAATTTATTAATATTTAAAAAAAGATCATGCGTTTTAGGTCAGGAAGTGAATTATTAGAATTTTGGGAAATATAATCTAAAAAAGCATTTTAATGCCGTATACTAATCAAAGTGAAGGTGATCCAGATCGAAAGCAAACTAATCAAATAAACGGCAGCGGTAAATGTTAACAATATTCCGCCTACATTTTTGGCCTTCGGCGAGCTTCGCTTTTAAAATAGCGCCGTTGCAGAGGTGATGGCGTTCTCCGTCGCGCTTGGCTCTGCGGCGGCTGCTCTTGCCTATCAGAACGGTGTGCTTTTGTTACATCCTCGGCAAAGTTTTGTAGAACTTTCATGAGATAAATAATTTAATATTTAATACCCATTTAAGCGAAGCGGCGCAGTTGTTACCAAAGGCTGTATTGCTATGAAACTGCAGATTCTCACGGAGCTTTTATGGGTGGTAACCAGTTAACTCTCTATGCTCTTTTTATTTTTAACTGTGCCAGAGAGACTTCGTTTAAATCTTCTGGAAGTACATTGTGTAGTTAGAAGAAAATTGATTCTTCGTTGAACTACAACAAGAGTTTTTCAAAAAATTAATTTAAAACCGATAAACTTTTTACTTACTGAATACTAGACACAAAAATAGGTATGCTAGCGATAAGCTTGTGACCATTGTCTGGTATCAAGTCATGTATTTAAAATATGTTAATATTCCATTGGGAAACATTAGTTGAACAAAACGTATAAACTGTGTGCTCACACGTGTTTGGATTATCCTACCTATTTGTTAATAGATCCCAAATTACACTATGCTCCTACTAAATACTAGCTACTTGTGAATCCTGTGATTTATGAATGTGAAATTTAAAAAAAAACGTGAGATGATTTCTGCAACAATTTTTTTCCTCCCAAGTGAGAAAATTACCGAACGACACTGATATATAACGCCAATAACTCCCTGAGGTCGCAACACTCGTTCTATGTTTGATGGCAAGTGTGTAGTTTGTAAATTTAGCGAACAAATTGATACAGCCCTTATTATTCACTGTAAATATATTTATTAAAAGTGTACAGTACAGAGGGCCTAGTGCAAGTTTATTTCACATCGACTCGATCGTCACGGCTACTGCGTTCGGCGTTGTGATTCGCCTGAATTAAACTCTTCACCAATCACAACGCCTCGCACTAGTGCCTCAGTTAATGTTTCACTGCAATTTGTAACGCTATAAAACTTTACTAAATTATTTTAGACCACAGTATAATCATTAAGAAATTGTTCCCTTCTTTTTCTTTATCACAAAGACCCAAATAAAGTTAATCATGGTCGGTTTTAAATTACTTTTTGTAACTTTCTATAAAACTTTTTAAATTATCCTGTCAAATTAGTTAGTAATTACCCAAGTCAAATGAGTTTTTGTAAATCGACTATGAAAAAAAAACTGATTTGACTCGAATCAAAATGAACCTTATAGAGAACTGATCAAATTTGAATCACTGTGAGGGCACCGTTTTACATTATTTAAATATCACCAAACGATGTAATGCCATATTCTATATTGTTCATAATCTGTCTCTCCAATGGAAACAGTATGAGCTGAAATTAGCCGCGTCGGACAACTTGAAGGAAAACTACACTACCGTGGTCATCCATGTGAAGGATGTCAATGACAATCCTCCCGTATTCGAGCGACCAACGTATCGCACTCAAATCACTGAAGAAGATGACCGCAACCTACCCAAACGCGTGCTACAGGTCGGCCTTGAGATAACTGCTGCCGAATTCGATTCTTTATTGAATATATTCTTGCTCCTGTATCAGGCACAAATAGTTCAAACAAGAATCGAATGAGGTTCCCAGTTCCCGAACTGACCCTTTTAGATATTTTATTAGCTTGCATGGCATGGGGATTACGTTTGCGTCACTATTTTTACTACGTAGTAGTTACTTATAACATTTGTTGCTAGTGTCTTTGGTTTTTTATTTTATTTGCATCTAGTTTGTATGTTGCGGTACCTAGTATGCAGGTCCGGAGTACAGGCTGAGCAATTTCCCGTATTTTTTCCAGAATACTTGAGGGTACTTCGTTTGTCTCATTAATTTTCGACTTCATATTTTAAACTTCAATAGTAATGATGTATATGAATATGTGGTTTATATACATTTACAACTCTAATTAACAGAAAAAAAGAATAAAGTTTTTAATGAAATCTACCATGAATTTTGAAAAAACCAGAGCAAAAATGTTTGAGCAGAAACGACTGAAATTCACTGAGTCGCGTAATACCTCGCTCGTCACGAAAACTTCCTTCAAACAACCACTCCGTGGTTAGTAATATTTATTTACTAGCCGCAATAGGATTCTAAACATTTTTTTTATAATTTAGAGTCGAACTCGACTTTTCCCATTTTTATAACGATAATGACGAGAAACTTCGTCAGCTGGGTGCGAGTTCGCCGCGAGAGAACGTTTGAAATTTGTACTTTTCAATTATTGCACGAAGCCCGAAAGCAAAGTTCTTTGCGTGGCATAAATTAACTTCTTCATTGCGATTAATACGCGGAGGCGAAGCATTTTCTTTTATATTTTTTTGTATTTACTCAAACAAAAATATTTATGAAACGTGGTCTTATAAAATCAATGCGCCAATACCAATAAATCATTCTGTATCGATATGATATATTACGCGTAGTCGCGACATACGTTTAAACTGCGGCCATGGAATTGTAACATGGCTTATCTGTAATACACAATGAACTTTTATAAAACTGGTTATAACCAGCCTCAAATCATAAATAGTCACTTTTTATATTGGAAATATTTTTTGTAATGTTAGAGTGTAGGGTGTAGGGGCCGTAAAGTACGGCAACGATGATTCGTGTGGCGTGTAATGCATGAGCATGAAGAGTGTATATGTGGGTGTGCGCAGTACGACTTGACGCTGGTGGCTTCGGACGGGCGAAACGAGAACTCAACGTGCGTGGTGGTGCGAGTGCTCGATGTCAACGATTTACCGCCGAAGTTTACGCGCAGCGCCTATGTTACACAAGCATTAGAAGAGACCGGGCCCTTTCCGCACTCCCTTATACAGGTTTTTTTTTGGTTATTTTTATTTCGTTTTAATTTAATTAATACTCTTAAGTAATATTTTAACGGACCCTATTCTTCCTTGATTGCGTAATATTCCGTATACTCTTTTATATATGTTATTAAAACTACCGAAACCTAATTAGATCAGAGTAAAGGTTTTATTTGCTTACACTTATATTTAGACTTCTGAATCAAAAATATAATTCTATTTTATACATTATTATAGTAAATAAATGAGAACACAAGCATATACTTGTATATATACGAGTACATTATTTTACCTTAAAATCTATTTGGAAAGGTATATTACGTGGGGCACACTGAAAGTTTTTGGATCTGGCTACTTACATTAAAAGAATAAAAAAAACAATTGTGGAATTCGAAAATGGAAGTCTTTGGGAACATGCAACTTTTTAATTTGCGAGACTGTCATTTGTTTTTTCACTGTGACGTCCTTTCGAAAATTGTGTGTTGCAATCAAAATAAAGTTAACTCGTGAACATTTTTGTTCAATGGTTTTTTATGATTTTCGTTGTGGCTTAAGTCAACAAGAGAGTTGCTAGAAACTTCAATTGACATTTGGTAATGAAGCACCATGTCGCAGCTCTGTGTATTCAGCTTTGCAGAAAGACGTGGACGTGATCATCTCCATGACAAGATACGAGAAGGTCGGCCGGCGACTGCTGGTTACAGACTCTAATATTGTCACCATACGACATCTTATTGAAACTGACTAAAAAAATTACTTGCCAGCAAATTCGTGCTATAAAAAAGGTAAAGTAAAAAAAGGCTGTTGATGATGATGATGATGATATTCGTGCTTTGTTAGGCATTGGAATGAGCCAAGTGCAAAGGAGGACCAGAAACGCCTGTGTGTCCAGTGGTGCTGTAAAATGCCAAACAGTTTAACGGAGGTCAGCCATTGGCTGTCTGTTATATCGTAATAGGTGACGAAACCTGGGTATACTGCTTTGAACCCTAAAGAAAAAGCTAGTCGGCAGAGTGGGTATTTCCTTTGAAGATTTGCCGACGAAAGTTAACAAAAGTCAAAGCATTGGTAAACAAAATTTAGCTTTTTTTAAATCAGGACATTACACTACAGTATCACTAGAAAATCAAAGGACATTGACTTCAGATTAGTATGTCAACACTTGCTTGCCCAAAGTCTTAAAAAAAGAAGCTTATTTGAAGGCTTTAAATGTGGAAGTGATGACGCATCCGCCTCACAGCTCGGACCTCACACCCTGCGACTTCTTTTTGATTCCAAAAATTGAAGACAAACTTAGAAGTACACGTTTTACGAGCCTTGAAACGGCGGTGAATACGTTCCATGAAGCCATTGAAAGGTCCCTAAGAAAGACTGGTCCAACTGCTTTGTACAGTGGCTTCAGCAAATGCATTATTATGCATTAATCACGAGTGAATATACTTTGAAAAACAATAAATGTATCGCAAGTCTTATATCTGGTCTTATTTATCAGAACAGAAACTTTCAGTATGTGTAGTAATTAACCAATCAATTTTATACACTACAACTAAGCTGAGATAGGCTTTCATTTACATTTTTTTGTCGCAACAGGCCAAACATAATGACAGTAAGGTATCTACTTTACCACAATCCTTTTTTGTTTTCGTGTAAGCAAAACTAAACTTTTGCTTTTTCTCTTTCTTATGTATTTTATTTTAACCTTTCCTTCAATTTGGGTCAACTGGTCTCCTAATCTGAATATGTACAATAATAAACTATAATTGTAACATCTTTAATTACAACCGTTTTATACGAACCAATGCTGATCCCAAAGGTTTTATAGGTAAGTAAGTAATTAATGTACTTTACGACAAGAGCTTTTATTTACCCTCGCTGCATCCCCACAGCTTGGAATTGTTACACCACAATCTACTTCACAGCATGTGTATTGTCTATGTTTTCTAGCTATTTTTCGAATTCTACAACTTATTTGTTTTATGTCAATAACATACACGAGTACAAAGAAAACATATTTTGTAAAATGTTTTAAATTGCTTTTTATCAAAACTTTGTCTCTGTATTGTGTCTCATCTGAATATTTCAAATCACGCGTATATTATCACTCGCCCTAATAATATACATACCATGTTAAAAATAATTTAATTAATATCATAATGTAGTGGGTTGAAACAAGCTTTATTAGTACAAAGTTTCATAAAGTTTCTTTAAGTTGTTATAGATATTTAGATTTCATAGATTTGTGCTTAGGATTGAAATATTGTTCTTTGAAATGTAGATATCAACTTTTTCACCTTGATGAAATCGTGCCTTAAAAGTGTTTCACATTCAACTCTCATTCTCAATCACGAAAATTGACCTTCCACCAGGAGCGAAGCTTTTGTCCCAAGTCGCTTGTAGTGACAACCTTTTTTTTATAATTGGAGTGAGATTCGCAAATGATCCGAGTAATTACGCAAACGTCGACCCTCTTCATTTCAGCTGCTCGGCTAGTCTGACGTAATTGGACATTCCAGATGCCATAAGTTTTATGTATTCCAATTTTACAGGGATCAGTTCCTCCATTGAATACACGATTATATTTGGTACACTGTTACGGAACACAAAGTGATTTAAATAGTAGAAGTTCTCAACGCGCTCCTTAAAAATAACAAAGTTTGCGATTTTTCCGGCGGCGAGGTGGCGAGGTCGCCTTAGTCGCTAGGAAACAATCCGGGGTGTTGGGGTTGAACTTTGTAGCGCTTCCGAGGTAGCTCGACTACTATAAAATAAACATAGAACCGTGATTGAAATTGTTTGAATTATTTTAATATCTCAAGGAATATTCTCAGGAGCCGAATATAGACTGTATTAAAGGAAAATAACAATATAATAAAAGGCTTTCTGGAACTCGCATGATTGAGCTCGACAAAAGATTAGTTAGATAAATACGAACATCTTCATATAACTCAGAATGAAATAATATTGGGTATGAGGCATATATACGTATAGCAAAATTTATTTCAATAATATTCGGGTTAAAACACATGACTTGTACTTACGTACATTGTATAATAACCCCATTGATATTGATATGTTTTTTATGAACATAAATACATATAATTTCAGTCAAGCCTTTTTACAGAGTGCCAACTCGAGTGAAAAATCGAGCAACTAAAGGAATACATAATTAAACCGTATGTAATACACTAGAGCAACTGATAATAAAGTATTTTATAAACACCATTTATAATACACTATATACCAGGCTGATAGTTTCAAAGCAGATTGCCGTCTGTTTTTATTTAAACATGACATTCGCCAACCGACTTCGTTGCTACGAGTATTATAAATGTTTGAGTTCTGAAGGCATGTATAACAAAGTAAACTCTAAAGCGCTCGGGGACATTTTCATCGAGATGAAAAGTTCGTAACTATTGTTGTAATATGATTCGATAATGAAACACAATGCAGAGCCAAAGGCAATTCGTTACCAAACGTAGTCATGTAACTTAAGTGTATGTGTACTTTATTAGATACTCGCTTGGTTCTCATCATATTTTTCAAATGCCGAATAAATAAGATTTATTAAAAATGTTTCAATTCTTTATTAAATATTGGTAGTGTATATTGTTGAAAAAGCTTTACTTTTTATGTTACAAACAAATATTTAATTTCAACAAGGGTTTTTTGCAAAATAAATATACACAACGAATATTTTTGATTAAAATTAAAATGTCATACCATATCTAAATAACAACTATACAAACAGGTCACAGCTACCGACGGTGACAAAGATAGACAGCAAAACATCGTTTATTTCCTGACTGGTCAGGGTATCGATCCAGACAATCCTGCAAACAGCAAATTCGACATCAATCGTACAACAGGCGAAATATTTGTACTTAAAGTGAGTACAAGAAATAATTAAATTTCACTACGTTCATCAAAGTATTATAATTAATTAGGTAGTCGCGGCATTGTAGACACTTGATGCCTTTGGCATTGGAATGAGAGTACAAAGTAAGTTGAGCTAACCGTCTAATAGGACACTCACTTTGCATGCACAATGCAATCACACATTTATTGCGCTCCATTTGCGCCGTAAGTTGGTCTCAGATATTTCTAAAATGAGAAAAACCGAATGGACTCTGAATACTAATTACCTACTCTTCAGAAAATTGGAATACTTTTTGGTAGATTCGTTTTTCTACCAAAACTCTTGACTTAGTTTTCTCTAAGTTTAAGATTACTTTGTTTGACATCACGGGGCAAGTACTCTAAAATAGTCTAAAGTACACATTTTATTTCCTAAAACCCATTTACCATCATTTATATATTTACTCCAGATGTAATACATATGTCCATAAGGTAACCAACTTACGTACACTTTATAAACATAACTCTATAAGTAAATAAAGGTTTCAAATATATTTAATCGTGATTAGTTTGCTAAATTGACTCATCATTGTATACAGATTTAGGTCATTCAGGGATAATAATGAATCATAACTTTTAATATTCCTTTAAACATTTTTTAAACTTCAAAGGTAAAAATTTTATGAGATTGTGCTATAAAACAAAAGTTTTGAAGTTCATTTGTGTTTTAAATATACAGCAATACGTTTTTAATGTATATTGTATATATTTATATTGTTTGTTAACAGCCTTTGGATAGAGACCAACCCAATGGAAGGCCACAATGGAGATTCACAGTGTTTGCTCAGGACGAAGGCGGCGAGGGTCTTGTAGGATATGCTGATGTTCAAGTTAACCTTAAAGATATTAATGATAATGCACCCATTTTCCCCCAAGGAGTATATTTTGGAAATGTAACAGAAAATGGTACAGCTGGTATGGTCGTTATGACAATGACAGCCATTGATTATGATGATCCAGCCGAGAGCAACAACGCAAAATTATGGTATTCTATTGAGAAAAATGTAATTGAAGAAGAAACAGGTTCACCTATATTTGAAATCGAACCCGAAACTGGAGTTATAAAAACAGCAGTATGCTGTCTAGACCGTGAAAGAACACCAGATTATTCTATACAAATAGTTGCATCCGATGGAGGAGGGTTAAAGGGGACAGGAACAGCTTCTATAAGAGTAAAAGATATAAACGATATGCCACCACAATTCACCAAAGACGAGTGGTTTACTGAAGTTGATGAAACGGATGGAACAAATTTACCTGAAATGCCTATTTTAACAGTGACTGTCCATGATGAGGATGAAACCAATAAATTTCAATATAAAGTTATTGAAAATAGTGGATACGGTGCTGATAAATTTACAATGGTCAGAAATAATGACGGCACAGGTTCTTTAAAAATTGTACAACCGTTAGACTATGAAGATCAATTACAGAGTAATGGTTTCAGATTTAGAATACAAGTTAACGATAAAGGAGAAGATAATGACAACGATAAATATCACGTAGCCTATTCTTGGGTAGTAGTTAAATTAAGAGATATTAATGACAATAAACCTCAATTTGAGAGAGCTAACATAGAAGTATCAGTTTATGAAAATGCAGAAGTCGGCAAAAGTTTAGAAACTTTCAAAGCTACTGATCCAGATCAGGGTGGAAAAAGTAAAGTATCATACGCAATCGATCGATCATCAGACAGAAAACGTCAGTTTTCAATTAATCAAGAAGGTACTGTCAGTATTCAGAGATCTTTAGACAGAGAAGACACACCAAGACATCAAGTAAAAATATTAGCTATTGATGACGGAGTTCCGCCAAGAACAGCTACGGCTACTTTAACAGTAATCGTACAAGATATAAATGACAATGCTCCCACTTTCTTAAAAGATTACAGGCCTGTCCTGACAGAGCACATAACCCCTAAAAAGGTGGCAGAAATATTAGCTACAGATGATGACGACCGTTCTAAAAGTAATGGTCCTCCTTTCCAATTTCGACTAGACCCAGGTGCTGATGATATCATTAGAGCTTCGTTTAAAGTAGAACAAGATCAAAAAGGTGCTAATGGAGATGGAATGGCTATAGTGTCATCTTTACGATCCTTTGATAGAGAACAGCAGAAAGAGTATCTTATTCCTATTATCATCAAAGATCACGGTAATCCTGCTATGACTGGAACAAGCACCTTAACTGTTGTCATTGGAGATGTTAATGACAATAAAATGCAGCCAGGTTCTAAGGAAATTCTTGTATATAGCTATCAAGGTCAAGCACCTGATACTGAAATTGGTCGAGTTTATGTATATGATCTAGATGACTGGGATTTACCGGACAAAAAGTTTTTCTGGGAAAGTTCAGAACATCCAAACTTTACTCTAAATGAAGAAACTGGGATGATACAAATGAGACATAAAACTAGAGAGGGCAGATACCACCTTAAGTTCAAAGTGTATGATCGCAAACATACCCAAACAGACGTTCCCGCTAATGTAACCGTGTATGTCAAAGAGATATCACATGAAGCAATTATAAATTCTGGATCAATTCGGATATCTGGAATATCAGATGAAGACTTTATAAGAGTTTGGAATTATAAAACTCTCAGTGTATCCAGAAGCAAATTGGACATATTCAAGGACAAACTGGCTGATTTATTAAATACTGAGCGTGAAAATATTGATGTGTTCAGTGTACAGCTCAGAAAGAAACATCCTCCTGTGACAGACATTCGATTTTCTGCACATGGCGCACATTACTATAAACCTATACGATTAAACGGTATCGTTCTCATGCACAGAGAAGAAATAGAAAGGACTGTAGGAATTAATATTACTATGGTGGGTATAGATGAATGTTTATATGAAAATCAAATGTGTGAAGGATCTTGTACAAATGTTTTGGATATCAGTAACCTGCCCTACATGGTTAATGCAAATAAGACTGCCCTTGTTGGCGTTCGAGTAGATGTTATTGCGGAGTGCACATGTGGAGCCCGTAACTTTACTCAAGCAGAGACATGTCGTAATTCGCCGTGCTATAATGGAGGAAGATGCATAGAAGGCAAATACGGCTTAACATGCTCTTGTCCCCCCGGATACACAGGGCCAAGATGCCAACAGACCTCTAGGAGCTTTAGGGGTACAGGATGGGCTTGGTATCCTGCATTGGAAATGTGTGACAGTTCTCACTTAAGTTTTGAATTTATTACAAGGAAATCAGAAGGTGTATTACTATATAATGGGCCGATAGTACCACCTGAGCCAGAAGAAATAATGGTATCAGATTTTATATCTGTCGAACTGGAGAGAGGTAATCCTCGACTTCTCATAGATTTTGGTTCTGGTACTCTAGAGCTAAGAGTGAAAACGAAAAAATCCTTAGATGACGGTGAGTGGCATCGTATAGACATATTCTGGGATACGGAAAATGTTAGGATGATAGTTGATTATTGTAAATCTGCTGATATTCAAGAGATGGAAGACGGTACTCCCCCAGAGTTTGATGATTCAACCTGTCAAGCCAGTGGAACTATCCCACCATTTAATGAATACTTAAATGTAAATGCACCATTACAAATTGGCGGTCTCTATATTGAGCATTTTGACCCAACTCATTACCATTGGCAATACATGCCGATTGGTAAAGGATTCGATGGATGTATAAGAAATTTGATTCACAACAGCAAACTATATGATTTAGCTCACCCAGGTTTGTCTAGAAATTCCGTAGCTGGGTGCCCACAGACCGACGAAATCTGCAATCAAGCTGACACGACGTCCAGATGTTGGGAGCATGGTACTTGTGTAGGTAGCTTCTCAGAAGCGAGATGCCAATGTCAACCCGGCTGGACAGGGCCTTCATGTAATTTACCAACTACACCTACCAGTTTTCGGCCACAGAGCTATGTTAAGTTTGCCCTAAGTTTCGAACCAGACAGGTTTAGTACTCAAATTCAACTACGATTTAGAACACGCGAACCTCATGGCGAACTTTTTAGGGTGAGTGATCAGCACAACCGAGAATATGGCATACTCGAAGTGAAAGAGTCTCGACTACATTTCCGATATAACCTTAATTCACTACGTACGGAGGAACGCGACGTTTGGCTTAATTCAGTCGCTGTAGACGATGGACAATGGCACATAGCTCGTGTAAGTCGATACGGTAGCGCCGCGATGCTTGAAATCGATGGTGGTGAAGGAAGACGGTACAATGAAACTTTCAGTTTCGAGGGACATCAGTGGTTACTGGTCGATAAACAGGAAGGTGTCTACGCCGGTGGTAAGGCGGAATATACGGGTGTGAGAACCTTTGAAGTATACGCAGACTTCCAAAAAGGATGTTTAGATGATATTAGATTAGAAGGCAAACATTTACCGCTACCGCCAGCAATGAATGGGACACAATGGGGACAAGCCACAATGGCTAGGAACTTAGATCGGAATTGTCCTTCAAATAGTCCGTGCATCAACGTCCACTGTACAGAGCCGTTTGTCTGCGTTGATTTGTGGAATGAATATGAATGCACGTAAGTATATTATATTCTTTAATGTTTTAAATTCAACTTACATTCTACTTAAAACCGTGGTATTAAATGACTAATCAAATAATAAGTAAAACAATGTCTGATTTTAAATTATGTTAATATTATTTAGTTTTAAGCGCGCACTGAGTTTCGACTTCTACTATTTATTTATTTTATATTTATTTACATATTAATAGCATTATTTTGCAAGAGAATGGTTGGGGAAACATTATTGTGTTGGTTGAGACATAGAAATATTATTATAATGTAATTTATTGTTCTTAATAATATAATACAACAGGTTTTTCCTTTCTTTTCTTTTTTCTTATAACTACTTATTATATATACATTATTAATGCTTATAATTTATAAAATAAAATTGTGTTCAGTTGCGGTGAGGGTTTGGTATTGTCACCGGACGGCAAGGGATGCGTAGACAAGAACGAATGTCTCTACTTCCCGTGCCGCAATGGCGGCTCGTGCGTGAACCGCGAGCCTGGCTACCGCTGCCACTGTCCCGAAGGGTTCTGGGGCGAAAACTGCGAACTCGTGCAGGAAGGCCGCACGCTCAAGCTCAGCATGGGCGCGCTCGCGGCCATCCTCGTGTGCCTCCTCATTATTATGAGTGAGCAATAACTTAGTCACGCATATGCGTGTCCCACTAAACGCTCATCCCGACGCACTTATCACTCACGCACTAATATCATATAGAACTATCTGTGTATATTTGTAGTCGTACTTACTAGTTCAATGTAATACAGTAGTGCATGCTATATATTGGGTATTCGGAGGGGCTCAGTGCGCGCATTTGGCGATGAAGACGGTGAGGTAAAGCGCACGATGTGTAGGTGTCCTGGAGGATCGGTGCGCGGGGGTGGCACATGTGTCAACGTGAACGAGTGCATCGACAACCCGTGCCTGAATGGCGGCACGTGTGTGGACAGGGAGCCGGCGCGCCGGTACGACTGTGTGTGTGCCTTCGGCTACACTGGACACGACTGTGAACTAGAACTTCTCGCATCTGGCATCATCACACCCTCCAGGGACTTCATTATAGCTATCATTGTTTGTTTGTTCATGCTTTTAGGTGAGCACTACATACAGTTAATTTATTTGCATGTAATTAACGCCTCCATGGTTGTGTTATTTAGAAATTTTATTACAGGTAAATATTTACCTACGAGTATCTACTTGTCGTATCACTACTGTTATTTAAAGATCACTCATGTGTAATTTAATAATGGCTTTCGATTACTTAGTTTAAAGAAATTTAACAAATATTAAACTTTATAAATTGACCTAGTTAGTATTTACGTGACTTACGAATAAAAGAACTTTTGTAAGAATCCCCATTTATAAAACTAAGTTTGATCAAAGGTAATCGTTATTACATAGAGAGATAAAAATATATTTTTTTTAAACCTGTTTTGTCTTTAATACCAATGTAACTGTAAAGAGTAATGGTCGGTTTGGCAAATACATACTCAGTTAGATACCAACTTGTTATTCGTTCAAAGACATATGTAGGAAGCATTTAGGTACACTGCCATTGCGTATATGTCTGAATATGTATCGGAAAGTCCGTTACATATACAGAAACGCTCTATAGCTATACGGCCGACAAACAATTGCAAAAGCTACATTAGATGGATCTACTCGAGTATGAAGGTTAAAAATTATTTTAGTACTTATTGAATATGTGTATATTAAAAAAATTGGTTAATATTATAATCATTTGTTAATAAAATTAGGTGACTTTGTGAATTTTTATGAATACATAAAGTTTATTTATTAGCGAATCGTCTTTATTTATAAGTAAGTTTCAGTCATTGGCACTTTCCTGGATATAAAATGTCAAACTTATAGAACCGTTAGTTTCAAACTAGGTTCGTCCTTTGTTGTGGTGTTCGGAAAGACACTTTCAATATGTTACGCTATTGGTCCGATAACCAAATTAATTAAATTTAGACTATTACTAATTACTACGAGTATATTTCTGTCACATAAGATTTTTTTACGTTTGCCTCAATATTAATTTATTCTTAGTTCAAAATTTAAAGTTAAATAATTAGAATTTTATTTTTCGTAACGATAGACGATAATACTAATCCTTACTGATTTCATACAACATACAAAATAAAAAACTAACTTAAAAATTTACAACGCATTTTTTAACCGGCTCCACAAAGAGGAAGTTCTTTTAAGACTAAATATTTATTTATACTTGTGTTACGCGGTATCTTCGCCATCTGTAGGTAAATATATTTCAGGTTGAAAAAAAATTTTCAAGTGTAACGGTAAAAGAAAAACGGATAAAGAAGTTTTATTACTTATCATGATTTAGACGCATTGAAGTCATTGTTTTTTAAGTTCATGTAGTAAATATTTCTTTCACTGTATAATGGAGTAGCCATTACAATAACGTTGAAAAAATTTACGACCTCTCGTTTATAAAGTCCTTCTAGTTATTACATTAATGCCATTCTGAATTGTTTCATCAGACATTTTCTGAATCTGAAATTTTTGTGAATTCGAAACTACAACTTTAATTAAACTAATACTTTAAGAAGTCACGAACTTCGACCTTAGGTGTACTTTTTGAGTTATTTGAATCGAGCTAAAGAATGTCTCTGCATTATAATCGGAGACATATTTAATATACATGTCATTCAAGTTGATAAATAAGGATTTTTAAATACTAGTATTCCTAAGCATACAAAGATTTAAATTGATTTATTCATGTTTGTAAGGCTAGTAATACGATTAAAAAAAATCGAAGCTATTTTAGTCGCAGGATCATTAATTTGCTCATTTTGGAAAAAAACTATTTTTTTCTCATCCATAAAAAAGTTTAAAATTCATTATACTGTTTAGAATGACTTATACGTAATTCAAAATACAAAAATATGGCATACATGTTTTTTTTAAAGTCATAATTCGTTTTCTCAAATCTGTATCTCTGTCTACCAGTCCTGGTGTTAGTGTTCGTGGTGTACAACCGCCGTCGGGAAGCGCACATCAAGTATCCCGGCCCTGACGATGACGTCCGTGAGAATATCATCAATTACGACGATGAAGGCGGTGGTGAGGATGACATGACAGCTTTCGATATCACCCCACTGCAGATACCCATCGGAGGACCTTTACCTGACCATGCTCCTACGAAGTTACCATGTAAGTGCCGAGGGGTATATACATATATATACTACATACTATATTAGTACGCTGAGCTTTTTTTAATAATCAACTGTAATAGTGATATTCTTAGTAAAAACTAAAACATTTATCTTTTCAAACACCCTAACTTCACGCAAGCGAACGATAAAGGTCGACTTGATGAACAGTTTTTCACTTTCCCTGGCAAATCAGTTTTTTGTTTCTTTTTACCAAATGTGGAAACTTACATTTTTTGTAAAAGTCAAATGCAGTTACTTTACTGCTACGACAAATAACTCATCATAACCAATTTTAGGAATAATTGTAATTTAGGCCCCTTAAAGCTGTTTCCTGAAAGTTTTACAATTTTACACCTTATTAAAGACTGCTTTGTATTAAATGGCATAAAAGAATATTTTTGATAGTACATAAACACCTAATACGAGTACCTTATCTGAAGACAAATTTTTGTTCAGCTACTCTTGAAGGTGACTTAACAAATTAAGTTTCGTTACAAAATTAGGTAAATGAGACATTTTAATTGAAGCAGAAGTCATTAAGAAAAAAGTAATTTTCAAAACTAGCAAAAGAAACTCATAGTTGAAAAAATTACTTAAGCTTAATCTTAAAATTGTTTAATACGGACGAATACAAATATTTGAATTCGTAAACTCTTATTTCCATCTACCCCTGAAAGAACATAGGTATATTGTAATATTTCAATTTAACTTTTATATAGATCCAGCAAGAATGATAATGAATAGTATTCCCTGTGAGGGATTGGAAATGTTTTTATCATACAAAGAGAGGATTTTTTTCCGAAAATTCGTTTCTTTATTTTAACAGTGGTGAATTTAATCGATAATACGTTTATAAGCACTATAATATTGGGCTGTATCCCAACAAATGTTATATTTAATTAACCCGTTATGAATTAGAGTCAGTTCATTATCGTCGTACAGGTGGCTATAGAAGCCCAATTATTATGTACCAAAATAGGTGTTACAAACCAGGCTAGGAGAATGTAATTCATACTACAACTTGATTTTATTAATATTCAATCAGATCCTCTAATGGGCGTGGGCCTTGGTGTTGGTCCAATGGGTGTTGGAGTCGGAGTGCCACCAGGCGTGGGCGTGGGTATGCCTCTAGCCGGCGAGACTAATGTAGGCATGTTTATCGAAGAGCACAAGCGCCGTGCAGACAGTGATCCTAATGCTCCTCCCTTTGACGACCTGCGCAACTACGCGTATGAGGGTGGTGGCAGCACCGCAGGCTCACTTTCGTCTCTGGCTTCTGGTGAGTACCCACCCAGTTCTTCTTTTCGTGTGTGTAACTGAGTATACATGACGCAACTTTGAAAGCTCCATTAAATTCGGTTTTAAAATAATTACAGATTGTTTATTCCGGTCTTAGCTGTACAAATTTATCAGTACGTTTTTATTAGCCTGCACTGTGCCAATAAACCATTACCCCACGTTAGAAAAATCCCCTTGAATCGTCGTTTTAAAATTTATGACGACGCCTCGCAGGTCTTCATTTACAATGTATGTAGCGAAAAATGGAAACATCTTTCAGGCTTCGTTTATCGGATGAATTTTGAATTAATTATACATAATCCTAATGCGGTGCCCTTGTGTTAGGTACCGACGACGAGACGCACGAGTACGACTACCTCGGTGCGTGGGGTCCGCGATTCAACAAGCTGGCGGACCTATACGGACCGGATCTCGACGAACAACTGTAGGCGCCCGTACCAACACTCCCCCGCCGCTAATTTAGTCAATTGTCTCCCACTATCGTATACAGTAAGCCATTTAACCCGCTATCTCGGGCGTTTTACTCGTTTACGTACCCGCGGATTTAATTTTGTAAATAAACAAGCGATGTTGTTCTCCGAGGCGGTTGAACAACACGCCGCCAGTCTCATTTGCAATTCTTATCAATTTTATACAACTTTATTTATTGTGGTAAACATATTTAGCTTAAGTAATTGTTTAAGATACATACCTATTTAATTGCGTAATTTTTTTATAAAGTTTAAACTACATCTTCACCAAATATTTGATATAAGTTTTTATTCAATTTAGCCATATTATGAGTCAGTATTTTATTGGAAGTTACAGAATAAAAGGATTTCTGCGGTAGAGCCGGACGTGAATCTGAATATGGGTGTTTGTAGATAGTGTGCTATAAATGTGAATAATTTATACGAGTATTTTGTAAGTCCCCAGCTTTACGTGATGACACTTAATATGCGGCCTTCCCGCAGAAATCATTAGAGAATAAAAGAATATGTTATATTTTAATAATGGTAGATAACCTCATAATTACATGTGGTGGTCCACTCGGACGTCAAGTTCTATAATGCTCATTCGATATTATGCAAAACTTAAATAAACAATGGGGTTGTAAATACAATAACACTCTATAAACAACTGCCCCTGATTTTAATTAAACATGAAACTATTAATTAACTTAACGTGTAAGCGAACTGTACAGTAACCGGTGTTCCTCTCCTAATGTCTCCGTGTAGTGCTAGTTAAATAGAATATTTGGAACGACTACGGTCTTCTCGTAACGTAAGATAACTAATCGTAGTCATGGTCGTCGGAGTTGTCGATTGGTGTGTGAGCGAGACAGGGTGTCTGAGGAAAGCGTGAACCGTAGGAACGAGTGCAAATGCGTACAAAGGTGTTTCGTGGAATGTGATTGCGTGCAAGGAAGCGTCGATATGCGAGCCGCGCACCGCCGCAGCTCGGCCGCTCGAGCCGCTGGCGCTGGCGGTGCGCAGCTGTGAGTGGGACTGTGCCAATTTCTTAGCATAATCGATGCAGCTAATGATGGTAGAGTTAAGTGTTTGCACTTTATTTATTCATATGTTTACATATAAATTTAGTCGCACCTAGGAAAATATCAATAACTTATTAAGAGTGTTGTGCTAGAATACTATTTCCATCGATCTTGACGTGAGACAGCTCCGGCAATCGGTAGAAGTCATTAATTTATAAATTAATTTTTAAGGATTTATAGTAAAATATAATAATTAAATGGTTCCGGAAGATGTCTCACTTCCACGTCGACTTATAATCAGTGTAAATTTTAGAATAATACTGAATTATGTTAAAATGACTGATTTAATTATGTGTTTGGAGCCTAAGATTTTTGTAGACTCGGTTTTAATAGACTTCTTAAAACTTACCTAATGTAAGTTCACCCTCTAGTTTGCACGAAAGACAAATAATTACTATTCAAATACCTACATCAATATTAAAGCAATTCTCGTTAATTACTATTCATATAAGTAGGGATTCATAGTTATTATTATTTGATCGATATCATTACACTGCCAGTATCATACATATAGACGAATTACGATAGTGATTTGGGTCCGATTTTATATTTCTGTCTTATACAAAAGTATATTGTAAGTTTTTGAACTGTTTTATAAAGCAATTTTTTTTTCCACAACGGGTGCGGTTAGCACTTATATTCAGTTCTCTTTTTGTTTTCGAGCTCTGCGCTGTCTCTAAGCGTGTACTTCACTGTTTGTTATCCTTTGGAGTAACGTGTTTGTTGTTTAAGACCCACTGTGTTGCCAGCTTGTCAACCACCACTGTGCAAGTACTTAGTTTTAAACAAATCTAATGTATAACTACAACGACGTTACAACATTTTATCTTGTGAATGCGGTTTCTATCTTCAAAGTATGTAAATATGTCTTACTTTAAAACTAGACCTAAATTTGCCTTAATGGCATATTATAATACAACCGTTTTAATAAAATTAGAAAGTCGCTGTCGATAATACCTAATCTATGAAAAATCTAACAATAATATTCACGCTATTTGTTTATTCACTATACTTCAATTGCACGTACACTTATATAGACAGCAGAGCACACAACCCCAGTACAAAATAATATGATGTGAGACTCGACTCACCAACACCAGTTTTGTGTTTATTTAGACATTAATTATATTGTACCTACATATTTAAACATAGTGTTTTGTTTCAACTGTGATTATTTAGTTGTACAACTCTGACAATTATAAAAGAACGAATAAAACAATATGAAAATGTATCAAGTTTTATTTTTTGCCTACTTACACCTTTCCGTAAACCCCTTTTTTATAATCAATACAAACTATACGTACATGTATGAAAAAACTCAAGGTAAGCCTCCACTGCGCATTACCATCAACGTAGCCTAATAGCTATTAGAACATCAAACTGCTTTTCCTGACATTTTATAATTGTGTGCACGTCTTTACTATAAATGTCCACCTCCTACCATAAACCGTCGGCACAGACCGTCACAAAGAATACTACTGGAATAAATTGGAATAATCACTACGCTATTCTGGCTTAATCGTTTGTTCCGATATGTATATAAATGTTAAGAGGTCTTGTAGCGAATCCCTTATGTTGTGGTAGCTACTACTACTAAAACTCGAAGTAATACCTACAACTTAATTTATTTCGTTTTAATATAAATAAATCAACATTTAATAACTCAAACACTACAAGAAATATAGACTGAAATATAGAAATATGTTACTGATTAACAGATTGATAAGTAATAGTCTTGTACATAACTCTGTGTTAAATCATGCAATGTAAAACATGGAGGAGCGGAATTTTCTACTATAGACATTATTTGTTTCAAAGAAGATTCTGAACACAACTTTCTGTAAACTAATTATGTGACACAATAATACTAAAAAATATATATAAAAATATATACTTTATATTTTTTTATATTAAACTTTAACTCTGTTAGTTGGACAGTATTTTGACCAGAGGTCCAGAAAGCAGATGATGTCAAGACTTTCTGTACATTCTACGTTAAATAGCGTCCTTTAGAGCTTTCACAAACAACAACAACAGCCTTCAATAGTCCACTGCTGGACATAGACCTCTCCTTAGATATAAGGTTTTGGCCTACTATACCACGCTGGCTAGACGGGTTGGTATAAGGTTTGTGTCAAGTTTTCCTTCTCTTAGCTGTGCTGTTGTCCTGCGTAGTTTGCTCCCATAGTCGACTATTACGACACCCACGGGATGAATAGAGATGGTGACAATCCGTATTCTTAATCCGTCACCACACGGCACTTGCTACACTTCAGAGTTTTTTATGTGTATAAAACATGTATAGTGTATATAATTCACATTACCGTCTAGTTTTAAACTTAACTGTTGTGCCAAAAGAGTAGGAGAGCTTGTAAGGAGGTGTGGGTTCCGGAAACCTAATGTAGTGAGGAGTGAACTTACCTGAGCCCAAACCCCCTCTGCCCTTGATTCTAGGGCTTGGGATTCAAAGGGCGACAACACACTTGTGACTCTTGAGTAGCAGGTGTCGATGGGTGACGGTACTTACCCATCTTGACTGCACGGATGGCGTAGTGGTTTAGGCGGTCGCCACGCCGCTTTCTACTGCGCCGAGTGTTGTGGGTTCAAACCCCACATGGGACGACACTTTGTGTGATCCACAAATTGTTGTTCTGAGTCTGGGTGTTCTTTGTGTCCATTTCACGTATGTTTGTAAAGTACCCCGCGACACAGGATTTATGCCTAATGAGTTGTCTTTTAAAAAAAAAAGTGTTCGTTTGCCGCCTTATACTATAAAAAAAGAAAATATCACATCGCATCCGTTGCTCTTTTGGCACAACTTCCTTGTTAATTTTGCTTTAGAAACACATAACCATAGAGCAGTTACATTATTTCCTTTAATTACCAATTAGATTAAATTCCCACTAAGGAAAAGAATCACACAACGTAAAAAGAGGATAATTATTGATGACAGTTGTTTATCGTCTTCTTTACGTCAAATAGCTTTTTTAAGGAAAAAATATATACACACAAATAAGTTCAAAATGTTAAGATTTATTTTTCTGAACAAACTGTAGGCTAAGACGCTAGAACATTCAAGACTTTTTCGATCCGCTGTAGTCAACACCTACTGTTGTTAAGTATTTATATCTTCAAAAGATTCCAAGACCTTTGAAAACTTGTGAGGTAAAAGATATAATGTTAGGATCTAACACGGTTGAAAGACTTTAACTTAATGCGTATATATCGTCTGTGAAAAGTATTTTCACTTTCGTGAGTCAGGTTTATATACACGTGAGCTGTTCTACGAATGGTTAGTGAAAAAAGTTTATCTAAAGCCTTTCAAAATATTCCCCTCCAACCCTAATGCACTTATGCATTCGGATGAAGCAGCTTTTAAAATATTTTAAAAATGTATCTATTGGGAGATCGAAAAATCCCCAGCCACGAAGAGATTTGTGCGAGACGACCATTATTGATAAACAAAAGTGTGACAGATTTATTTTTAAAGAAAGATTTATTTAATAAAAGAACACGCCCCCTATGCGTGTTCTTTTATTAAATAAATGATTTTGATGCCATGATTTTGATGCCAATGATTTTCAGCGAAAATATTTGTGTTGAAATTAGAAGTCAATTCAAAATAGTTTCAAGATAAAGAGGTTGTATTTATTCTGTAGCTAAATTTTGAAAATTTTATACCAAATGTATTATTAATTTATTGATAAGCCTAAATTATAATTTTAATCTAAAGTTTTGGAATAGTTGAAAATCACGAAAGTTTATATTTGTCCTTAAAAGTAGCAACCAAGCAAGCAAATAAGTCTACTTTGGCTTGCGATAAATTCACTCTTGAATAAATTAAAATTAGAAAATGAAAAAACCGTTTTCGCAAATATTATCTTGATCACGTTG